CAGCAGAAAATCTTCATTTTAAGTCTCTGAAAGCAGTATCTCACAGCTGAAATTTAGGATCCATGTGGGCTGAACTGATTTATTTTAATTCTCAATTTTCCACATATCTTCTAATAAAGGAAATGCACATAGAAAGACCTACATCTTTGGAAAAATTAATGTACTATGTGAATTAGTATATTTCTATTTTCAATCCTGAGACCCAATGTTTTCCTAGAATAATACCAAAGATGATTGGATGACAAAAATAATATTATATAGAGAGTCTTCTATCACCATATGTATGGTCTGCATGTAATGGAATAAAAATTCTTAACTACCTTAAGCATTATAATATTATTTTATTCGATTAAAAGATGGCTTGATTGTTCCCCATATAGAGATGAGTACTTACAGCCTTTACCCTCCAGTAAGTGAATAAACTAAATGACATTCAGTTGTACATTGTTTCTTTTTCTTGACATTTATTTATCCACATGAGAGGCAGCAGGAACAAGAGATGAGAAGAGAGATAAAGACAGAGACATAGGGAGTGAGAGAGAGGTACCCTCAACAGGGTTTCCATGGCCTAATCAACTCACAACCCCAGTCAGCCAGGATAATGGAGCACACGTTAGTGTACTAGGTGTGCACAGGTAGACTTAGAATCCCAGCCCTTTGGAGCCTCTGCACCTGCAGTGCTAACTGACGCTCAGTTACAGTGGCTGAATTGTGTACTTCTATACTGCAAACATTATGCTATTTCATGAATATGTAGTAAATACATCTTTTAAAATACTTTTTTCCTTTCTGGTGAAATTGAGAGACACAGACTAATTATTTTACATACATTAACCTTTACCTTAACAAATTATGATTTAGGAAACAAGCCATCCGGTGTCACATTTCATTATATAATACTTGCTTTAGTTGGCACTGTGTGGACAAAAGTGACATCTATCACTTTTGTGTAAATTGTAGAGTATTAAGTACGTAGACTTATTTAAAAAGCCCACCTCTCCTTAGGCTCAATATTCCCTGTCTTTTTTTTTTTCTCTTCGTTTTCTGCATAGCACTTAACAGTTATTGAACATAACACATAATTAATTTTGTTCTTTAGTGCCTGTCTATTTTCACCCACTAGTATGTCATTTCCAGAAGAAAAAGATATTGGCATATTTTATTCAATGTGGTCTGCCCCTTCCCCCATGTACAAAGTTGGCACTTGACAAATATTTGTTGAATGATTATAGTACTTATATACATTAATTTAACTCCTTTTCTTATAGCATGATTAAGCAAAGGATGTCTTCAGTGACTTAAAAAAAAAAAGTTTATTCTGGGATCAGCATATGACATAATGGTTACTCCATATGGTTGACTGTGCTTCTAGTCCTGGATCCGGAGACTTCAAACTCACGCCAGGTGCGTGTGCATGTGTGCCCAAAATCCCAAGAGGAGACTGGAGGAGAAGGGATTGCAGCATGGCCATCCCCTCCGGGAGGTGATATTACATTTTCTGTCTCTCTGCCTCTCTGTTTCTCCAGCGAGTGAACACACCCTATAGCAAAAATCTCTCTCTTATAAAAAAAGTTTATTCTTTTAAATCCCACTCTATTTCAAATCTCTTTACTCATGCAGCTATTTGCATATGATTCCTTAGGGGTTTATAGCATGCAATTCCTTTCAAACCTATAAGTCTTTCTAGGTCACTGGGGAATTAAATTATTTCCCCAGTGAGCTTAATAAAGAAACTGAATGTATTAGGAAAAAAAAAAAAAACAAGTAGGCAATACTACCTTTGTTCTTTTCATGTGTTTGCACCATAGAAAGACCTACATCTTTGGAAAAATTAATGTACTATGTGAATTAGTATATTTCTATTTTCAATCCTGAGACCCAATGTTTTCCTAGAATAATACCAAAGATGATTGGATGACAAAAATAATATTATATAGAGAGTCTTCTATCACCATATGTATGGTCTGCATGTAATGGAATAAAAATTCTTAACTACCTTAAGCATTATAATATTATTTTATTCGATTAAAAGATGGCTTGATTGTTCCCCATATAGAGATGAGTACTTACAGCCTTTACCCTCCAGTAAGTGAATAAACTAAATGACATTCAGTTGTACATTGTTTCTTTTTCTTGACATTTATTTATCCACATGAGAGGCAGCAGGAACAAGAGATGAGAAGAGAGATAAAGACAGAGACATAGGGAGTGAGAGAGAGGTACCCTCAACAGGGTTTCCATGGCCTAATCAACTCACAACCCCAGTCAGCCAGGATAATGGAGCACACGTTAGTGTACTAGGTGTGCACAGGTAGACTTAGAATCCCAGCCCTTTGGAGCCTCTGCACCTGCAGTGCTAACTGACGCTCAGTTACAGTGGCTGAATTGTGTACTTCTATACTGCAAACATTATGCTATTTCATGAATATGTAGTAAATACATCTTTTAAAATACTTTTTTCCTTTCTGGTGAAATTGAGAGACACAGACTAATTATTTTACATACATTAACCTTTACCTTAACAAATTATGATTTAGGAAACAAGCCATCCGGTGTCACATTTCATTATATAATACTTGCTTTAGTTGGCACTGTGTGGACAAAAGTGACATCTATCACTTTTGTGTAAATTGTAGAGTATTAAGTACGTAGACTTATTTAAAAAGCCCACCTCTCCTTAGGCTCAATATTCCCTGTCTTTTTTTTTTTCTCTTCGTTTTCTGCATAGCACTTAACAGTTATTGAACATAACACATAATTAATTTTGTTCTTTAGTGCCTGTCTATTTTCACCCACTAGTATGTCATTTCCAGAAGAAAAAGATATTGGCATATTTTATTCAATGTGGTCTGCCCCTTCCCCCATGTACAAAGTTGGCACTTGACAAATATTTGTTGAATGATTATAGTACTTATATACATTAATTTAACTCCTTTTCTTATAGCATGATTAAGCAAAGGATGTCTTCAGTGACTTAAAAAAAAAAAGTTTATTCTGGGATCAGCATATGACATAATGGTTACTCCATATGGTTGACTGTGCTTCTAGTCCTGGATCCGGAGACTTCAAACTCACGCCAGGTGCGTGTGCATGTGTGCCCAAAATCCCAAGAGGAGACTGGAGGAGAAGGGATTGCAGCATGGCCATCCCCTCCGGGAGGTGATATTACATTTTCTGTCTCTCTGCCTCTCTGTTTCTCCAGCGAGTGAACACACCCTATAGCAAAAATCTCTCTCTTATAAAAAAAGTTTATTCTTTTAAATCCCACTCTATTTCAAATCTCTTTACTCATGCAGCTATTTGCATATGATTCCTTAGGGGTTTATAGCATGCAATTCCTTTCAAACCTATAAGTCTTTCTAGGTCACTGGGGAATTAAATTATTTCCCCAGTGAGCTTAATAAAGAAACTGAATGTATTAGGAAAAAAAAAAAAAAACAAGTAGGCAATACTACCTTTGTTCTTTTCATGTGTTTGCACAACTGTTTTCCACATTTAATTTGCAGTTGCAGCAAAGAACTATTTTTTCTTAGAATCGCATATTACTTCATTGTATTGTAGTTGAAGAATTCCTTTAGTAAATAAAAAAAATCAGTTGGGTGTGGATTGTAATGGAGCAATATTCTAATTGTACATATTCTCAGTATTTTAGGCTAATAAAAGTTATAATGCAAAAATACGAATAGTCTCAAATAATTCCCATTTGGATTTAGGATTCATTACATGTCCTTTAAAAAAAATCTAGCTTGCCTTTTTCATTATATGTTGTTTGAGTTAAGAATAATATTAATTCCTGAAAAACATTGTTTGGGCAAGTTTTGAGAATGGGGACCATATTTTATTCATTCTGAAACAAACAAACCATTTAGTCTGTTGATTTGCATATGGTAAGTCCAAAATAAATAAAATTTTGAGCTGTTGAATGAGGAAAATATATAGAGACTAAAGACAAGACTGACCGAGAAATTTAAATAAAAAATCATCAATGCTTTTGCATGTACAATTATGAATATTTGATATTTGGTCCCACAAAGTAAAGAAGTCAGAAATCATCCAACTTTCTGGGACCCGAAGGTGGAGTAATGGCTATGTCACTGACTCCCATGTAGTCGACCGCAGTTCAACGCCCTGACCTGGTGGCTTAAACTCACACCAGTCACATTTGCGTGTGTACCCAAGATCCTGAGAGGAGAATGGAGGAGAAAGGATTGCAGCCATCCCCCCGGGGGGGTGATTTCTCACTTTCTGTCTCTCTGTCACTCTCTGTCTTGCCGGCACACACACCCTATAGCAAAAACCTCTCCAAGAAAAAAAGAAATCATCCAACTTTCCAAATTATCCCATTAGAAGAAACTATTTAACCTTTATTGTAATTATACCTTCTAAATAAATAATCTACATTTGTTTGTTATTATACACTGTTTAGTAATAAGTGGCTTTATTTTCTTTTCCAGTCTTATTAATTAGACAGTTTAGAAAAAATCCCCATGATTCTCTTCCTCAGTCATATAAATCATGATTTTATTGAATCCACATTTTCCAATGAAAGTATTATTTCTTCCTAAGGGAAGTCAGGGAATGGGATTCAAGGAATTTTACCATTACTAATGAACTATCTTTCTAAATTATGTATATTATAGCCAAAGATACAAAATAAATGAGAAATCCACTAAATTTCTTAACAAATCAGAAGGAAAATTTAAAAGAGATGTCTAATACTCTTATTCTAGTAGTGCTACCCTTTAAAATGAAGCAAATAATAATAACACAAATAATAAATATTTTCTTTAGACATCCTTAAAGGGACTAAATAGTTCGTTTCTGGTTTCAATAGATGCTTTTTAAAAAATATTGAAAAGATTTTTTTAAAAACTTGTACTTTAAGTAGGAATATTTCCCATTATTATCTGATTATACATTGGCAATGACAACTTGAAGTATTTACACAGTTGTAGTTCAGATCTGTATAAGCTTAAAAATAATAATGTATGAACACTAACCTTGAGATCTCATGAACTCCAGTATTTTCTTGAAGATTCTATGCCTCTGAAAACATGTTTTCAGTCTGTTGATATTGCCTTATTTTTCCTTAAAAAAAGAAAATATGTTTTAATATATCACATAAGGTATATTTCCAAAGCATAAATCTGATCTACAAAGTGCAAACATAATATTATATGGGAGATAATCAATAGGAATCTTGGAATATAAATAAGGCATTGAATATAGAACTGAATAATCATATTATATATAAATGAGTGAAGAATGTACTAAATTTCTAATTGCTCATATACATGTTAACATTTATTCACTTAATTTTTAATTGAGAAATATTATTATGGATAAGAAGTTTAAGGTCTATTGATTTTATTAATTAGTATTACATTAAATTTAAACAACATTTTAATCTCCAGGAGATTCATATCTTCAAGACACACAAAAATTCAGGTAGTTCAATGTAAATTTTGTAGCTTTTTATAGTTGATAAATATCATAATGAATATTTATTGTTTCTTCACCTGCTCAATTTTCTTGAAGAAAACTGCTTAATTCTGGGGGACCAGCAGTTAGCGTAATGGCTATGTCGCTGGACTCTCATGTAGCCGACCGATTCGAGTCCCGGACCTGGTGGCTTTAACTCACGCTGGGCACGTGTGCGTGTGTGCCCAAGATCCCAAAAGGAGATGGAGGAGAAGGGATTGCGGCAAGGCCATCCCCGCTGGGGGGTAATTTCTCGCTTTCTATCTCTCTGTCTCTCTCTGTCTGGCAAGTGCACGCACCCTATAGCAAAAACCTCTCCAAAAAAAAAAAAATTCTGTGGAGGATATTACACATTCAAATAAGGAAGCCACGAAGGGAGGGGGGGCATGAATCACCTATTAAAGTGTTTAGAAGAACATTTCAGAATAATGTTTTCTTCTTCTCTATTAAAGATGAATATTCTGCTGTTGCAATCCAAGCTGAAAATCCAACAAGCAAGCACACACACTAACTTATCTGTTTGAATATGCCCAGTGAATACTGACTTAAAAAAAAAAAAAGTGTTTGCAGGATCAGCAGGTGGCGTAATGGTTACATTGCTGGACTGCCGTGTAGTTGACCACAGTTTGAGTCCCTGGCAGCTTAAAACTCATATGCCGGGTGTGTGTGTGTGTGTGAGCACGTGCACAAAATCCCAAGCAGAGAATGCAGGAGGAGGGATTGCAGTGTGGCTATCCCCAATGAGACGTGATTTATTGCTTTCTGCTTCTCTGTCTCTCTCTGTGTCTGTGGCAAGCACATGTACCCTATAGCAAAAATCTCTCTTAGAAGAAAAGTATTTGCAACTAAAACAAAATAATGAAATAAATTAGACATTAACTTGAATTTCTCTATAAATGTCATTCATAATGTCAACTCAAACTTTCTTATTAATGAAAGTAATTTCCATATTTGTCATTTTTACTTACTGAAGTGTCATTTAAATTTTTATTCTTAAAGTAAAATAAAAACATTTTGCTGCTATTAAAATATGGGGAAACTGTCATCTAGTTTAAGCTTCCTATTTTAAAATATTAAAAGTGACTGTATTTGTGACAGGCAGCCAAATCTAAAGACAGAGATTCAACATTTTTGAACACTGGTTATTAAAAACTGAAATAAAAACATAATTGCATTTTACAACTGGACAGGTAGAAGATTTTCTATAGGAATTTAAGCCATTGTACTGAGAATAGCAAAAATACTGATAAATTTACAATCTAAATTTACACATCTGTAATTAATCTGTAATTTAGAGAGGTAAAGGTACCCTGGGCTATGGGGAAAAAAAAGAGAGAGACTCAAATCTTTTCCTGTTTCAAGTTCAAAGATATAAAAATAACTTTCATGGATAGGATTGACCTTAATTGAAGCTAGTGAAGTCAGTAGGAGGGATTCCACTACAGAGGAAGAGGAGTGTGGAAGAATTACTTATATTCAATGCAAAGGTCCAATATTGGAGAACCAGAATCAATGCCAGTTCTATGCACAATGCACAGAAGCTGATGCTGGAAACCATCCCAGTTCAGCACCTTGGCTAGGGGCTGTGACTGGGAGAGAGTGGTTGTGAGAAGCTGTGTAAGGAGGTGTGTGATGTGTGTACGTATGTGATAGTTTAGTTAGTTGTGCTGCTAAGATCTGTAACACACAGTCTGAGAGAACTTTGCAGAAAAATTATCCCTATGTAATGTACCTTAGGAAAGTCTAGAGGCTGCTGTTCTTCCTTTGCAAATCCTCTAGGCATGCCAGTGGGAACCGCCATTTTGCCTGGAATCTTATCTTTATGAAGTGATCAGAGGAGTTGGATAACTTCAGCACAGTCTGTTATATCACCACATGAGTGGGATTCTATGAGCAGACTTAGCAGTGACAAATGACATCTGGGACTTATTTTAGGATAAATATAACCATTGCAGGCAGTTAAAACAAATGTTTGAGGGGGGTAAAACTTGTAGAAGACTTAGAATATGTATATTCATGTAAATCATGTGTCCTCACAAGCTTTGTTATGCTCATTAAAAAGTCTCAGTATTAGATGATGGATTAAGAGTCCTATAAAAAAACAAAATAGATAGATATATACGCTTATTATCATTTAGAAATGTGTACCTCACACTGATGAGTCCTGTCTGGTCTTTTCTAATATTGAGAGATTCAATTGAGAAAGTCTCTGGGAACCAATTTTACTTGTGGAAATTCCTTTAAAATTGCAGTGCTAGAGGGAAAGGAGAAGGTGACCTCTCCTTGTTCCAGCCTCTTTGGCTTCCTGGTTGCTCATGCATGTTACTGCAAATCATCCTGCAACTTCCAGAAGCCATCTGGAGTGGCAAGAGTCAAGACACCCTCCCACCTTTGAAAGGCACCTTAAGTAGGTCAGCAAGGCCTGGAGTGTTTCAATCAATAGCCAGGCTAGCTTGCACTAAAGTCACTGAAGGTTACTTCTCAGTGATCGCCTTGACTGACTTCTAGTATCAGACTTACAATTTCTAATAGATGATTCAATGATTAGCTATACGATTAGATGAATTGTTTGAAACACTCTCATCTTGGTTTTGCTTTTAAACAAAAAACTTTCTTACAAGTGCTGGTATTTTGAGAATAAATATATTCCTCCCAGAAGCACAGAATTTGAGACCTTTAGGATGGTGATTCTGTATGCCTGGAAGCTTGGCTCTGATCACAGTTTAAATATGTCAAAAGGAACATCAGACTGAACACAAGTGGAAAAATGATCTGATATTTCTAAAGTGACAATAAAACTTACACGTTAAGTGTACTAGTTTAATTGCATTTGCAATTGCATCTTAAAATATAGTATTGCATAATTAATATGCCTACAACCAGTGAAAGTCATCATTTACTCTGAAGGACAGTTTCCTGACAGAAGCAAAGGGCCTAAGGAAAAGGAATCTAGCAGAAGAGATTGATCTACCAAACTGTAGAATTTGAGCCCATCCTTTTAAAAATAAATTTATTTATTTATTATTATTTTTAAATTTGATGGAAGAAGGAGAGAGAGAGAGAGAAAGTGAGAGAGCAAGCTGTCAGGTCTGAGATTCGAACCATGTTCCACCATGTGGGAATACAACACCTTAACCACCACATCACCTTCTGGCTCCCGAGCTCATCTTTTTAAGAGGAGAAAATTCCACACAGTAACATTGATTCTATTTAGAATTATTTTAAACTAACAATACCACTCCAATTTTGTCCCTTTACACACATACTGAAGAGCAACTACCAAAATCACATGTAGCTCTAATGCATTCATTTACAAAACCAAAGTAATTTTCATTTTTTCATCTTTGTGTTAAAATATAAGATTTAGTATCAAATGACAAAAAAGTTTCTAGAACGATGATTGCATTTAGTTATTCTATTTCAGTAAATTGGACAAGAGCTATAATAATGAAATTAATTTTAGCTAGACTATTTATGGTTCAGGTGGTAACCATGGGATTCTTCATAACTTAATTATCTGTGCTCAAAAGTCTATAAACAATTCTCTAAAATTATTGAGGTAATTCTCTATTTAAAGGCATGCAAAGACATATTGCAATTATTGAGAATGTTCAAGAACTATAAGAGAATCTATGTGACAGTTTATATTAAAATGTAGGTTAAGGGACCAGCATAATGGCTATGTCGCTGGACTCCCACGTAGTTCACAGTGGTGCGAGTCCTGGACCCAGTGGCTTAAACTCACGCCGGGCGCATGTGTGTGCGTGCCCAAGATCCTGGGAGGAGAATGGAGGAGAAGGGATTGCGGCGTGACCATCCCCCCTGGGGGGTGATTTCTCACTTTCTGTCTCTCTCTCTCTCTCTGTCTGGTGAGCGCACGCGCCCTATAGCAAAAACCTCTCCAATAAAAAAAAATGTAGGTTAAAAAATATGCCTTAAGGAAGTGGATGATGATTTTACTACTTCAGTTGTACCCTCCTTCTCTCATGTCATCAGTTTTCCCCCATTTCATTAGCTTATTCCAGCTGTATGCAAACATTAAAATGTCTTACATCTTAATTTTTTTATTGGCTCCCCATCTTTCTCTCAACCTAATTCTCTGTAAGACTGGCCCTATAAGGGTGCAAACTTGACTGAATAGATTCCATAGATTGAAAATCCATTTCAAGTTCTAGCACTGCAATGTATAAATAGGAACAGCAGAGTGCAGGGAAGCTTTAGAGAAACTTTACAGCAAAGGTCTCTACGTACTTTAAATTATATGCTTCACCAAGAAAAGGCTTCTCAATCTCTACATTTTTTTTCTTATTCCACTAATGTTTATACTTTCCCACTTACCCAATTTAGAGTCTGTATTCCTCTTGGATTTACATATATACATTCACTTTCAGGGCCTTTGTCTCATTTTTGAACTTGTGTGTCTCAAACACCTGCTTAAATTCAGCTCTTCTCTTGTGAACCTGCCCCCACTAGTTGAACAGATGGCTGGAACTAGAGAAAATGTAAGATTTTGTGCTATTGGAATAACTTGTGATATATGACCACAAAGTTCAAGTTGGCCCCAAAAGTACCTGGCAATCTTACCACATGTCCTTTATGAATTTGTTTCACTTCTGAGATACAACTCAAAGAGGTATCTTAGTCCCTGTTTGGTCCTCTCACCTTCCTTCCCATCTCCTAATTTTCAATTTGTGATATTGTTTCTAAGAAAAGTAAATGACCACAATTCAATTTCCTTGCTTTTCTACCACTGCATGGTCTACAGACTGGATATGTGTACCCATGTGGTGTTTCTCCAGTCCTGTTATAATTGAGAAGCTCTTTCTCCTACCTAAGGTTAATCCCGTCTCTAAAACTTATATCTCATTTTTTTTTTACTACTTTAGTTATACCCTCTTGCTCCCACATCATCATTTCCCCCCATTTTATTAGATTATTCCCATCTGCATGCAAATATATCACCCATCTTAAGTTTTTCCCTTTACATCAGCTCCCAACTTTCTATAACCCCAATCTCTGTTCATTTTTACCACAAAATTTTCAAAGGAAAGATATCTCCATTTCTCAGCTGCAATTCTATATTGAAATCTCCAAAATTAGGCTTCATTTCCACAACCTCACTGAAATAACTCTCATCGAGATCAGCAGTGAAGTTGAATATTGCCTAATCCAGTAATAAATTCTCAGCCCTTATCTTCTCAATCTCTTGACAGAATTTGACTCAGATAATCAATTATTTCCCTTTCTTGAACTAATTTTTTCCCCTTAGCTTCTAGATATAACACATTTTGACTCGTCTCCTACCTCATTTATTGCCTTTTCTCAACATCTTTGTCTGATTTGTGTGACTCCTTTCTTCCTGATCTCTAATCTTCTAATAGATTAAATTCTGAGAGTTTAAGAACTCATGCTTGTCCTTGAAAATCAGATCAAGTCCTATGTCATCAAATATCACCATTTATTGATAAATCCAAAATTTAGATCTCCAATCTGAACCCATTCTCTGAATTTTTTGACTTATTTCCACTGCCTACTCTCTTTTACAGTTTCACTTGAATGGCAAATAGGATTCTCAACCTTAACATGTCCAAAAAATAGTGATGACAACAAGAAAGGAAGGAAAGAATGAAGGAAGGAGGGAGAGGGGAAGGGAAAGAAAAGAAAGAGAAATAGATGCTTCTAGCTTCCTCCTCTTCAAGATTTTCCATTTCAGGAAATGGCCTCAGCATTTGCCCAATAGTTCATATTGTAAACCTAACTTCTTGGATTTTAGGACTGGGGAAGAGGAAATACTAGATGAACATGAAATACTGTACAGTGCCAGATAGTGGGGAGTTGGTGGTGGGGGGCATTGGTAATGATAGGCATGTCAAAAGAAAATAAGAACCAATGTGAAAAAGCTCTCAAAAGTCAAAGTCATAAGAATTTAGCTAACAAAAGTTAATGACCGTATTAGATTATAACCCAAAGAATAGAATGAATATCTATGAATCTGTACTGATATAATAACTAAATAGATAAGTGGAGAGAATCTTCCTTAAAACTTTTCCAAATAAAATAGATATTCTCCTTCAAGAAGTAGAACTTAATCCATAACCCTTATACTTTGAGTATCACTTGGATTTAATGAGTTGTTTCAAAAAAAGAAAAAAAAATTATAAAAAATAAAATTAGTAATATGACAGTGAAGATACTTGGTAGATATTATCTCAATCAAGTGAGAAACATTAATTATGCAAGTGATATATCACACTGACATTAGGTAACCCCTGATGTGGTTTGATAAGAACACTTCACTTCTGTGGTATTTTCCCCAAAACCCATATCCCCAATTTCATTATTTTAATGAAAAATAAAATTGAGAAATATTCTACAAGAATTTGACTAATGCTCTTAAAAAACATTATGGTCATAATTTTTTTTTTTTTTTGCAAATGAAAGACTAAAGAACTATCACAGTTGGAGGAGACATAATGATTTATTCAATGTATTATCCTTGATTGAATCCTAGATCAGATAAAGGAGTTTTGTAGACAAACTGAAATTCAGAGCCTTTAATTCTGCTAATATTGGGTCATCAGGAAACTCATGACATGTTTTTTGCATAGAAAAATACATCATGACGTTTAATCCTGTACCTGTGACAATTTTGTGTTTTTTGTAAGTGTGACACGATATATACAAAGTTAACATTGGGGGAAGTTGGGCAAAGGGTTCACAGACATTGTAAACTACTTTTGAAAGTTTTACATAAATCTAAAATTATTCCGGAATAAAAAGTAGACTTTTAAAAGCCTAAAAATAAACCATTCATAAACCATTCATGTTCATTTCTTTTTCTATCCGCCCCCCAACCCCCGACAGCCACACAATCAGCATCTCCTGTCAGCTCTGCCTTTAAAACATATCCTGATTCTAACCACTTCTACCACCTTAGTTCAAGTCCTCACATCTCACTTCCACTATCAGACAATAACCTCCCACCTGCTTTCTTTGCTTCCTTCATTGATTTCCCATTACCTATTCACACAAGTATTAAAGTCCTTCCTGACATCTTACATTTGCTGTTTTTTTCTCTCTGGAAGTCTCCTCCTACCCCAGATATGGGTCACTCCCTCACTTCACCAAGCCTCTACTACAATATTCTTACCTCAGAGAAGCCCTTTATGACCATCCTACTTAAAATAGCCACCCATTCCCATTCCCGAGCCCTACTTTGTGTTTCTTCAGAACACATTTGTGACATCATAATATTAATGCGAACATCATGAGAGCAGGACTTCTCATGTTGAACAAATACACATCTATTGCTTGGGAGTTATGGGGGAAATATAATCCTACCCAAAACTGATAGAAATATGTTTCTGCCTTTTTGAAAAACCAGTATGTCAATTGCAACTGAGTTTTCCTACTCATAGGAATCTATCCCATAAAAAGTAAAGCACCGGGACCAGCAGTTAGCATAATGGCTATATCGCTGAACTCCCATGTAGCCGACCGTGGTTCGAGTCCCAGACCCAGTGGCTTAAACTCACACTGGGCACGTGTGTGTGCGTGCCCAAGATCCCAAGAGGAGAATGGAGGAGGAGGGATTGCGGCGTGGCCATCCCCCCTGGGGGTGATTTATTGCTTTCTATTTCTCTGCCTTTCTGGTGAGCACTCGTGCCCTATAGCAAAAACCTCTCCGAAAAGAAAAAGAAAGAAAGAAAAAAAAAGTAAAGCACAGTATGTAAAGATACTCTTAAAAGCACATGTACTGCCAATTTCTTCCTAGTAGCATAAAAACTAACCTGAAACAAATGAACAGTCATAGGGGAAAGATCAACTAAACTAGTGTACTGTTATGCATTGCACAATGGCACTTGGTTAACAATGAATGTGGCAGTAGAGGAATATCACACAGTGTAGGTATACAGTAGCTATCCCAGCTAGGTTTGTGCAAGTACACTATGCTATTTGTACAACAAAGAAATTGCCTAACAATGAATTTCTCAGGACATATCCAGGTTGTTAAAAATGTATGGTTGTATGCCATACCTTAGAATGCTGCATAGTCATCTAAAGAATGAAAGGCAGCTATGACAAATAATTTAGAGAATTTCCAGAAGATATTATTCAATCAGAAAATCAAGATGCAGAAAAATGTGTACACTACAATCTATTTTTTGACAAAAAATTCTTTATGAGAATGTGTTTACGTTTATCTAAGATTATATGACATTGGAAAAAATCTGAAAGGATATAAATGGGTGTCAACAAGAGTTACCCACAGGGGCAAGAAATGTGGATGAAGGACAAAGGGGAAGAAGAAGGAAAACACAGAGAAAAATTAAACAAAATCTCTGATATGATGATATTTATACCTTTATATAAAAATGTGTATGAGTGTGTTCATGAAGGAGAATTATTCAGGAAAATCAAAAATACAGACTGGTTTTGCACATTGTGTCCACAATATTTTCAAATTAAAAAAAATAACCATTTAATTATGAAATTGACTCCAGGATTTTTAATCTCACAGGAAAACTTAATTGCTTTTAGAATTGATCAGATTCCCAAGAGCTGCATAAATTTTTTTTGAGAGGTTTTTGCTAGAGGGCACATGCACTCACCAGAAAGAGAGAGAAAGAGAGATAGAAAGCGAGAAATCATCCCCCAGGGGGAATAGCCACGCCACAATCCTTTCTCCTCCATTCTCCTCTTGGGATCTTGGTCATGCACACACATGCACCCGGCGTGAGTTTAAGCCACCGGGTCTGAGACTTGAGCCACGATCGACTACATGGGAGTTCAGCAACATAGCCATTATACTAACTGCTGGTCCCAGAGCCACACAAATTCTTACAGACGATCCTAGAAACACAGCTGAATCACAGACTATAGTAGTCACTGTACTTTTATGCTCAGCTGTGGAAATAGAAATCAATCCTATAAAAGAAAACAATGATATCCAACAAGAATAAAAGAGAGATATCTTTAATGGCACCTGTTAGCTCAACAGTTAATTAAGCAGTCTATAGTACCTATCTCCATCGTTATAATGACATTTTCTTTCTAGAAACCACACAGTTATTCTCTTACACAATTAAAATGCCCAATTGAGGTCTTGATTGGAAAAGGCTACCCTTTTTTCCTTTTTAAAGTTTATATATTTATTTGTTCAGAGAAAAAAAAAAAAGTCACCCCTAACAGTGTTGTCATGCTACCATCCACCTCCAGCCAGCCTGGATGACAGACACACAGGCCAAGTATACAGGGAGACTTTGGGAAGTAAATTTTGGACCTTCCCACATGGCTCTACTTTTGTTACTTCTGCATCATCTGCCCTCCTTGGACAGCTTTCATTTTCTTAAAACATCAGGAACAAATCACAGACTGATAAGATGTGAGGAATATTCCAAATGTTTTTCTGTAGAATGTGCCCAGCACTTAAGTATCTCATAAGTGTGTTTCTTCACACTTCAGAAACACTACATGTTGTGACAGAGACAAGGTATACATAATCAGGTAATTAGTCTGACCCCAAAATTGTCTGTGTGTAACACCATGGAGCACATTATACCAATGTCAAATGTGAATTATGGATAAAGGAAAGAGAGAGATACATTCTAAATATTAAATGAGAAAATTTCACTACTGAAATATATTTGTAAATAGACTTTATAATAATTGACTTTATAAAAAAGAGATTTGACAATAAAGTAAATACTGAATGGGTCCTTACTGAAAAATTTTAAAAATATGATTTGAGAAATGCCGATTCAGGACAATTCAAAAGAGAAGTATCAGTAACATGACTATATAATAGAATGTGCTTAGACTCTGGAATACCACATAACAGAAGCTGACATCTTTCTGACATTTCTTACCTCTGTAACTTTGAACAAAGTATTTAAAATCGGTTCCTTCATCTATCAAGTGGGCATATGAACTTTAATCTTAGACACTGCAGAGAAGACAACTAAGGCATCTGAAACAACATGTGACTCAGCAGATCCTCAATAGATTAGTTCTCTAATTAATCACAAAAAGAAAAAAAAAAGGTTATTTATAAATTTAAAGATCAATTGATGTGATTTTTTTTTCTTTTTTAGTTTTTTTTCCCCACCCCATAGAGCACATGTGCTCACCAGAGAGAGACAGTCAAAGGGGAAGTGAGAAATCATTCCCCAGGATAGATGGCCAGACTGAAATCCCCTCTCCTTCATTCTCCTCCTAGGATTTTGGATTTTGGATTTTGGATTTTGGACACATGTACACATGAACCTGGCATGATTCTCAAGCTGTTGGGTTTGGGACTTGAACTCTGATAGACCATGTGGGAGTTAGTTCCCTAACCAACACGTCATCTACTGGCTCCAATGTGAGATATTTCCACTATTTGCTTACAAGTAATTTTATTGTATGGTACTAATCAAAACATTTAATGCAGTCCTTCATTTTTATTAGTTATACAATCAAAATGAATTATAGTATAGTAGCCATCATTATTAGTGTCGTATCATATTTATTATCTTCTTGTTTTTCTGTAATATATTCCATGTTTCCTTCCTTATCACAAGAATAGAGCTATAACTAATCAAAGGACTATATCTATTGGCCACCATAGTTTGGTGAAGGACATGTACCCCATGCTATTGTTGTCAGTCAGGATCAGATTCAGAAAGCAGAGTCTATGTCATGGGTCTAATGGAATGAAAACTAGTTACAGAGGTTTTGAAAGAGCTGAGATTCAAAACTAGACAAAACCACCAGGGAAAACAAAGACACTCAGACTCAGAGATTTGCAACAGTAGGAAAATGCTACTGCTCAGGGTAGAGGCCCAAAAGAGAGGGTAATGTAAGTTACCTGAGATAAGAGCTTTGCTGTCTAGTGGGAACCAGATCCCTGCAGTGGTCACTTCAAGGAAATGAAACCACAAAAGCAAAGACCAGAACATGGAGGAGATGCAGCAGCCACTGGAATTAACACCTGTGGCCTGGATAGGTGGCTGGGAATATTCTGCTCTCTGT